TAAGAACAACGTCCGGAAACATACCAGCAGACATAGCAGTGTCAAGAAAAGGCGAACTTATTTATATTGATGACAAGGACAGAACGATCAACATTGTGAAGAATACAGATATAGAGGAAATTATCAGGCTTCAGGACTGGAAACCTCGACGTGTCTGTTGTACCACCTCTGGCGAGTTGCTGATCATCATGGAAGATAATGAAAAGCACTCAAAAATTGTTCGATACTTTGGCTCAACAGAAAAACAATCTATTCAATTTGATGATGAAGGAAATGCTCTCTTCTCCACTAGTGGTTCTGCGAAATACGTATGTGAGAACATTAATCTTGATATCTGCGTCGCTGACCGTAGAGCTAAAGCAGTAGTGGTGGTCAATCAGACCGGGAAACTAAGATTCAGATATAATGGACATACTCCTACGCCAAAATTTAGATCTTTGTGTCCAAAAGGAATTATTACAGACAGTCAAGGTCATATCCTTATATGTGATAAGAAAAATTACTGTATACACATCATCAATGAGAATGGACAGTTCCAACGTTACATATGCCTATACATCCTTGAGAGCACAGATACAATGCATGGATTGTGTATAGATACACGTCACAATTTGTTTTTGATTGGTAACAGGTTAAAATTTTTTAAGTTGTCAACGTTTGTAGGGATAGTTCAATACCTGCGGTAAAATCTGCTTATCCTAAACACTCGTAAACATATCAAAACTTGTAACATATGTTTTTTCTATATTGTTTACCTTGGGTGAAATTATTTTTCAAATGAAATTCATTAATAATGTGATAGGCAAGTCATTTTTTAGTTGCAAAGTATAAAGTTTTAACACATTCCTTAGCTCGACCTATAATTTGTTTTGTAAGGGCAGTTCTGTCTAAATGTGGAATATGGGAGATATCTGATGAGATAGAGCAGCTCTACTTGTCTGATCAGAAAAAAAAACAAGATGCGCATGATAAAACATGCACAATATTTTCAGTATATGTATAATGTTTGTCTTATATCAACACATTGATATAGAAAGGAACTTAATATATACACTTTCGTGTAAATAACCTGTTATGAAGGATCCGGAGATAACGAACATTATTCAATCTCAAAGTGCATAGAACAATACGAAATAAGAGCAGAGCAAACACGGACCCCCGAGACATCAGAGCTGGGATCAGGTGCCATTGAGGAGTGAGCATCCCCTGCCTACCGGTCACATCCGCCGTGTTCTCCTTGTCATGATCAGGAGATAACGGAAAAATCCGTCGTCAATTCAGTGTATAAATAATGTGCTAATAATTGGTATGATAAACGTCAGTCCGCATTTGACTCAGTGAACTGTATTTGCTTACAAGGTCATTATATTGATCATAGAACTTACGAAATGATGACTTTAAACGAGACTGCTGAAAATCTTGTTTTATCAACTTGTTTGTCAATATACCTCGTTTTAGAAATTGTTCGTATGTAGAGCATGCTCTTGCGTATCGAATCAACTGAGATATATATACTCCGTATGCAGGTGATGAAGGTTTATTGCTGCATAAATAAGGGAAGCTGATGAAAGAAAAGTTAAAATCATCACGCTTATCATATAGCTTGGTTGTTAGATTACCATTAGTGTCCTTTTAAAGTAAAATATCCAAGTATGAAACAGAAGTGTCGGACTCGGTGGTATCTTTTATTTCAAGCTCACCAGGATATATCGTATCAACGTAGGAAAGGAAATTACCATTTTTAATTGACAATACTTCGTCGATATATCTAAATGTCGAGTTAAGGCCACAGCAAGTGGATTTGTCGAGAAACATTCGTTAAAATAAGTGTTACCCAATGTGTGATGAAATTTGTTCCTCTGATTTAATAATGTACATATTGTTAACTTAATTAACAAGTTTTATATTTTACAAATATTAGTTTTGCATAATATGTGCACGCTGGTTGCACTTTTATTATTATTATTTATTTATTTTTTTTTTTTTTTTTGGAAAAACGGCATTGTCCGTTAGATAATATAAAGAATAATATATGTACTTTCGAAAGTACAAAAGCAAGTATAAAAGATTTAGACCATATTAAATTGATGGTAAATGTAATGATTTTAACCAAAGAAAAAACAATGTTAACAGAGACTTGGTTTTCTAGAGCATGGAAATGTATTGAGACAAGACAACAGATTGGCCACAACCTCCCTATGATGATAAAAATTTTCTGAAGCAAAATTTGATTTAAATGAAAAAGATTCAGATTAGATTATGGCCGGTCAGCAGGGGATGCTCAATTCTCCATGGCACCTGATCCCACCTATGATGTTTATGAGGTCCATGTTTGCTCTGCACCTATTTTGTATTAATTGTTTCATGGACTTTGATATTGGATACTGTTCGTTACCGCCATTTCCTTCTTTCAACTCAGTGTAGTGACCATGATTGCTTTAAATGTGGTTTGATTGCCAGGATAATAGAAAAATGTGTGTTCCCTGTTGTTCAAGGTCGATGTAAAAATCATGATCAGTTGCTTTAAGGGATATGAAAAATAATAGCGAGCGCAGCGAGCGTCGCGAAGCGACGCTCGTCACTGCGAGCTCTTAAAGCAACAGCTGTGCGAAGAGAAAATTCGGACTACTGTACATTCATTAATAGAAAACGTTCTTCGTTAACTTTCAGCACTGTTCAGGCTTTTTCATGGTATTACAACTACCATACAACGTCATGTGACGCACCAAATCGCACGTGCGGTTTCACAAAGTTTGGCGAGCCCGATCTTAATCAAAACAGGAGAAGGGAGCTTGCGCTCGCTCTAACGGTCGCACCGTCAACATATTAATGATGTTGTAAATGCATTATATTGTTAGTTAAAATTACTTATAAAATTAATCTGCAATCAGGATTTTGCTTTTTAGAAAAGATTACTGCACTCAACGCTGTGTTTTGGGTCGATCGCTTGATTTTGCCTTAAATCTTAACCTAAATTCACTTTTATTTATAAAAAGTCCTGTCAATACACTTTATTCAAATGTTAAAAATAATTAAAAACTGTAATACATTAACTATTTTAATGTTTTTGTCCTTACCGGTTGTCCAAATACAGAGAATTTTCCCTTACCTGCGCTTGGACATTATGAATGTGTGAGAGGTGAAGCTAATGTAGGTCTAAAATTAGATAGGATAATGACAAAAACTTGTATCAAAATATACGATATCCTTTTTTCCACCTTCCTTTTTATTTTGTAAGGCACAGATACATTATTTACAAAGGTTTAAAACGTTTGAGGCGATTCATATGAGTATGGAATATTTTAAATCAATGACTGACTATTTAACGTGTTCGACCACAGTGTCCTAGTTAGCTTAAAATATGCTTAGAGCGAATATAGGGAGAAGAAGTTTTTTTTCTTTTAAACCATGAGTGCTTTTTTGTCTATTTATTTCCTTTTAACACAACATTGCTAATGCAAATATGCAACTACTGTTAAAAGTAATACATGCCATATGGACACCGATCTTTGTGTGAAACAAAATGATTATATGATTTGAAACAAATGAAGTGTAATGAAAACTAGTACAAACACAAAACGTTACTATAGAAGTCGTTGTAATAAAAAACAATTAAGCAATACCTGCAATTAAGAATCCAATCTTTTCATGAAATTTGAAGGAAGTGTGTAAACAGTACACCTATATATAGACATGCATGTCCACGGAAAAATCATAGACAACGAGGTATGTTGCATTTTGGACAACAATTATTAATAAAAGGTTAATATGCGTCATAACAGAGTAGATGGTTCATACTGATTACATTAAAAGATAAGTATCATTAAGAACAAGACACTTGCCATCCATTTCAAAAGTGAGTTGTATCTCAAACGGCTTACCTTGGTTTCTAAATGTCATGTTTGTTTATCAATCTAAAAGTAGCGACGGCGCCAGGAGTTGCAATTTCTCTCCTTGCAGGATTATAAATGATTATATTTTTTAAATAATTTGATAATTTTGTAACGCGTTTAATTTTAATTATGTAATTTAGTATTTTTGTAACTTTTATTAGTAAGCAAAATATATAGTAAAATTAGTAAAATATGCAGATGTTACGGCAAAAGTTAAAGTTTGAGGAACAAAATAGATATATTTTTAGCGTATAGGCCACAGTCAAGGTCACAAGGTCACTGACCTTGATGTCATTTGAAAGAAATTATCAGTGGAGTATGCATACCAAATATGAAGTCTCTATTGATCATGGTTCAAAAGTTATGGCGAAGGTTAAAGTTTGCAAACAAACAAACAAACACAGAGACAGACCGACAGACAGAACAAAAAGAATATACGCCCTGGATCTATCGATCCGGGCGCATAATAATATAAGTAAAATATCTAGATATGAAACTGATGTTTCAGACTATGTGGTATCTTACATCTAAAGCTAAAACTCTATATTTATTAATATGTATATACAGGACGTTTCATAATATCTACCCATATGTAAAAATGGGTATAACATCATCACAGACTGATAAATTAAAAATAATTCCTAGCGTAAATGCATTGCCAAAAAAGTAAGTCCTTCAAATTTTAAATGTTAGACCACGGTATTTGATGAAATAGCACGATGAATATGAGTATTTAAGGACCATTAAACTTATTTTAGCTTCTTTGAAGGAGGAAAGCACAAATAGACAGACTTTGATAATATTTGAATTCTTTACATCAATGAGTCATATATAGTTCAAATTATTAACAATATATATAGCATACTGGTAATAAAAGAAGCAAATATTCACACCCGAGACCTGACCGGTATATGTGGATTACACAGCAATTATGGTCATGTGACCAAAGAGATCAATTGCTTTTGGACTTCAGTTGGTAAAACGAGAAAACATATAACTCGTGGATAGGTAAAAATGACGTGTAATTTTCGCTGTGAAGCTAAAATATTTATCTCTCTAACTTTATGGGTTTTCTATAAAGTGAATCTCTCATATTAATTTCAAATTATACACAAAATTGCCTTGAATACGAAGGAGCGTATAATACATTTTCTGTCAATATTAAACCCTTGTTTTAGATTGATTAGTGACAAAAAAAGTCTGAAACTTGTTTCTCCTTTCAAAAATTGCATTTTTGTAAAATTTTATACAATTATTACCATATTAGTATAATCAATTTTTATAATTGATATCTTTGACGTAATTTGTCCTGTTCTAATTTGTAATTCTGCCGAAAGGCATAGCTTATTAAATGTAGACTATGCCTTTTTTTTAGAGAAACAAGAACAATAAAAGACAAAAAAAGAAAAAGAGAATATGTATGTTTCATCTTGAATTCACTGGCACACAGAGTTTGACGAACTTGTTTGGAAACTTATATCAAAATCGATGAAATAAAGGCCTTACAGTAACAAACTTTACAAAAATATCTGGATGAAATAACAAGAGAATTGTTTACATTAAAGGTGAAATTGATTCATTTGCGATTGCTGCAGACTCAAATGACATTTCTGCACCATTAAGTGTGAAATCCAATGTACACCAATATAAAAAGCTTCCACAAAAGATTATTCTGTCTCTGCCTTATTCACTCCAGGGATGATCATTGGAAAAAATGTTTAGTAATGTGTAGTTTTAGCATCAGCTTCTTTTAAATGAGAAAAGTATGATTACAGTATAAAGACAACCCAAGAATCACTAGAAATTGGATCCACTCCCATATTAATCCGAAAGAAGTCCTCCAGAATGCGGATCCCATCATCCACTCAAAACGCCTTTTGAAAATCCACTGATTCTCAAAACGAAAATTAAAAAAAAAATTACATGAAAAATGTATCTCGGTAATGAAAAGCTATGGACGTGTGGTAGTTGTGACAGTCATATTCGTCCTTATGTACATGTATATACAAAATCGTTTCTTTTTAGGAAGAGGAAGAGAAAAGGAAAATAAATATCTCAAAATTGTCTGTTCAAATTCATTTCTAATTACATGTACACTTTAACTGGTGAACACAAAGCCAATCTCCATCTGTGAGTACCATTTAAATATGAAGACTGTTTGTACAAAAATATCATTTTGCAAAAGTTTTGCTGTACTACTTAAAATTTTTTAATGCAAATAAAATTGATACTTTTGAGCAAATCGTCCATGTTCAATTTTTTTACATTCTGCCATAATGTGTAGCTTATATTCAATAAAATCAAAAAGCAGTTTGATCAAAGATATCATATATTTTAGAAAAATAAAAATTGGAGATTAAGATGTACATTGTAAATGGAAAATGTTTAACTTTTATCTAATATTGGCTCAGTTTTTATAGAAACTTTCATAATAGATTAACTATATTTTTCACCAAATAATGAAAACATCAGATGGATATTTCGCATATCCAGCAAACATTATTCTGGTATGGAAGAACAAGAATCTAGATTTAAAAGTACTCTGAATAGGAAAGCTTTTTTTTAAATTTCCACAAATCTTGTTTATGGCTTAATCCTATTCTTGCGGAATTCGATCGCTTCTTTAGTATAGTTAAATTAACATTGTAGAATCCTGATTAAATGTTAGAAAATAAAAATGATGCAGAATTTTAGAAGTAAAGGTCCAGACCGAAATCTACTCAAATCCTCAGGATTGAACCTCTTTGATAATGATCTTGCTTAATATCATTCACAGATAATTATTATATTTTTTTTATTTTAGAGTATAACCCTAGTTATTGACCCTCGTACCAGTGCCCAGGATTTAGTGCCATGTGACCTGAGTGAGACTGCTATAGAACAGGTGCACTGTGATACATGTCTGGTCAACCTATGTAGGGCCTGTGTGGGAGATCACATCTCAACTGATGAAACCAAGGATCACAGAGTGGTAAAATATCAGTCTAGGAATTCTACCCTAATCTACCCTGGATGTGCATTCCATGAAAAAGAACAATGCGAGATTTTCTATAGACATTGTGACATTCCAGTCTATCACACTTGCCTTGCATCTGATCATCATCTTAGTCACAAGCTCTCAAAACTTTTGCCCGTTATAAGTGAAAAGAAAGACTTGATCAGGAAGCCTACAACCTAGCAAAACAAGGAGAGGAATCGCACAAACAAATTGACCAACTTGTCAAAAAACTTAATAAAGCTAAGGCCTTGCATTTACAAACGTTACAGAGACATCTCGATGAAATTGGCATGAAAATTGTTAATATCAAAGATGACATTGATTCTCTTGCTAAAGCTGCAGACTCTAATGACATTTCAACACCGTTCAGTGTCAGATCCAAGGTAGATAGATATAAGAAACTTCCACAACAGCCTGTTTTGCCTGTACCAAAATTTACTCCAGGGACAATATTAATTCAAGGGGGAGAACTTTGTGAACTATTTGGGGCTTTATCATCAATTTTTTTTCAATCAGGAGAGTATAAACACAGTATAAAAATAACACCAAAAATTCCGAAACGTGGTTATATAATGGGTCAACAAACACCAGCATTTCAATGCCGACATCCAGTAAAAAAAAATACTTGAGAAACCAAGGGTTTCCATAAGAAATATTTCATGTTTGGGCTACCATGAAAGTGATGCATCTGGTTATTCTGGAAATACGGCCTCAAGATACACTGAAAGTGTTGTCCTATACTTCCCTGGAAGTTTAATCTCAGACTATCCTACAAATCCCTCCGTAGGGTACCCTGGAAATGTTGCCTCAAGCTTCCCAGGATATGTTGCCTCAAGCTTCCTTGGAAATGTTGCCTCAAGCTTTACAGGAAATGTTGCTTCAAGCTTCTCAGGAAATGTTGCTTTAGACTTTCCTGGAAACGGTGCACTAGGCGACTCTAGAAATATTATCTTAGATTACTTTAGAAATCCTACTGTAGGCTTTCCTAGAAATGTTGCCTCAGTTGCCTCAGACTACATCAGAGATATTGCTTTAAACTACCCTCGAACTTCAAACTACCCTGGAAATGTTACCTGTTTGGGAAACGAGATGACTTGGTTAAGTGTAAATAGCGACATCATAACACTCTATCGTTTCAATCATGGCTTACAAGTCAAGACAATAAAAACAAAGCCAGGAAACAACCCGGGAGACATAGTAGTCACAAATAGTGGCGATCTTGTTTACACTGATCACAGAGATGGATCTGTCAATATTGTAAACAATTGGGGCATAAAGGAAATGATCATACTACAGTATTGGAGATCTCACGGAGTCTGTAGCATCTCCTCTCGTGACCTCCTGGTTATCATTGAAAGTAATGAAAACAAACAAGCAAGGGTTGTCCGATGTTCTACCTCCAAAGAGATACAATCCATACAGTTTGATGATGAGAATAAACCTCTTTATTCGAGCAGTGCTTCTGATAAGTACATATGTGAAAACAGGAATCATGATATCTGTTTGGCTGACTGTGGAGCAAAGGCAGTAATAGTTGTCAGTCAGGCCGGAAAACTAAAGTTTAGATATAATGGACAAACTCCCATACTACGAAATAAACAATTAATTCCAAAAGGAAACACTACAGACAGTCAGGGAAACATTCTTACTTGTGATGATAACAATAAATGTGTCCATGTGATAAATGAAGATGGAGATATTATACGTTACATTAGCTGTGAGAGTCTTTACATACTATGTGGGTTGTGCACAGATACAGATGATAATCTGTTCCTTATTGGTTATGAACATATCTCATCAAAGTGCACGTTAGAGTCTTGTGTGTTAAAAATAAAATATCTGGATTAAAAATCATTATATCTATATTGTACCTGACACGCAACCTAAACAGTAAATAAAACTACTTTAAACAAATATATTTCTTATTTTATTTTAGTTTAAGTGAATTATTTATTTTCCAAAACAGCATTACATATTAAATACAAGTAAGGCGTCAATCCTTCGTCGCGACTTTGTATCCCACTGTAGGACGTAGAGATCGGTCCTTCCGATGAGACCGTTAAAAACCGAGGTTGCATGTCGTAGTACATGTAGGTATTGCCAAGAAAAAGATCCCTCCCTGCTCAATGGCCCTGAGTGGTTGACAAGTTTTGCAGCTCTTTAACGGAAAGTGCTGGCGCCCCACATGAATGAAAAATTCTCGAGAGGGACTTTAAAAAAAACAAACAATCATATCAAATACAATGTACCGTAATAGTTAGATCTGATTTCTTTGATGAAAGTTAGGGATATCTATATATTTATGTCAGTCAAAGAACCAAGCCACATTTTTCTTTGAATCAAACTATCAACCGGAGTAGATGTACCAAATCTAAAAGGAAAAATATTCATTTGATATGTCAAAATTACTTTGCAAAATTAAATGTTTTGGGAGCTGCACATCTCCCATGTGTCATTATTACCACGTTCATTCGGTACCTGAGCATTACCGACAATATCAGATAGGGTAACCACTATTTAATCTATGGTTTTGTTGAAAGGACAATGACATCTACATATAAGATATTTAAATGTAATTACTTATCTACTGGTCTGAATTGATAAACAATGAAAGGTGACTGAAGTATGTACTGGTATAACGATTACCTGAAATTAAACCATTAAAATGAAGCAATGAGTGGTTTTTATATCATAAATCTTTTCTTTTTCATTCAGTCATTTATTAATTTAACTATCCATATTTATTCAATTAATTTGTGAAAAATTATCACTATTCAACATAGAAAAATAAATTGAAGGCATCAAATTGGCTACAAACTTTCTACTTTTGATGATCATACTCCTGATCTATGCAATTTGATTTCCGAGTCGGATAAAATATTCATCGGATAATTGAGAAATAAAAGAGATGTAAACATTAAACCTGTTATAATTGAATTAATTGTTCATTATGTTTAATTTGTAGATGACTGTCATAGAAATATGTCCGGTTGTTCAACTTCATTAAAGGTGAGGTTAAAAGCCAAGCTTTCTAAATACTTGGACAGCCTAAATGTACGAGGGTTGTTAG